CTTCGTTTCACCCCGCCCTGGCGGAGGCTCTGGGCCAGGGCCTCCAGCGCAGCGCGGGCAGTGGAGGGGGTGCGGGCAGGCCGCTCACCGTGCGAGCTCCAGCGCTAGGACCAGCATCAGGCAGCCAAGCCAGAGAGCCGGGGAGGCGGAGGCTCCTGCAAGGAAACACAGAGAAGTACAGGGTCCCCCAGCAGGCGGCACATACAGCTCCTCTGTCCCTTAAAGGGAATGGTGCCCCAAAGGGGTGGAGGGGGAGGATGTACGGAGAGTGTGAATGGGCAGGGCCACAGCTGCCTTCACAGAAGAGCTACCTGCGGAGCTGGTTAAAAATGCAGACCCCCCCCCCCCCCGCCGCATACCCCCCCTCAGATTCTGGTTCAACAAGGTCCAGGAATCTGAATTCTAAGAGTCAGCTCATGAAGCAAGTTTAGGAAACGAGTTAAAGGCTTGGCCATGATGGAGGGAGAGAGGTTTCAGTGATGGCGAACCTATGACACGCGTGCCAGAGGCGACACGCGAACTCATTTTTTTGGTTGATTTTTCTTTGTTAAATGGCATTTAAATATATAAAATAAATATAAAAAATATAAGCCTTTGTTTTACTGTGGTTGCAAATATCAAAAAATTTCTATATGTGACACAGCACCAGAGTTAAGTTAGGGTTTTTCAAAATGCTGACACGCCAAGCTCAAAAGGTTCGCCATCACTAGGCCCTAGTCCAGGGGTGGGCAAGCTTTTTGACTCGAGAGCTACAATGGGTTCTTAAACTGGACCGGAGGGCGGAACAAAAGCATGGATGGAGGGTTTGTGTGAACTAATATAAATTCAAAGTAAACATCATTACATAAAAGGGTACGGTCTTTTTTTTTTTTTTAGTTTTATTCATTTCAAGCGGGCCGGATCCAGCCCGCGGGCCGTAGTTTGCCCATGGCTGCCCTAGTCACTCACCTCCTGGCTTCTTCCCTTCCCTGCTCGTACCAGCTTTGAAATCATCTTGTTCATTTACAAGACAGCTGGGCCTGTCTTGCTCACCTCGGTATTCCCAGCCCCTACTACAGGCCTGGCACACCAGGTGCCCAATATATACTGGTTAGATGTATTAATTAGTACTGCACAGCGAGAAGGCAGGAGGAGGCAGAGGCAGCAGTGAAGTGAATTTAGTCGTAAGCGGCTCTGATTCAGTGGGTTCTGGGTGAGGCCCATGACACTGGCGGCTTTTAAAAGCTGCCCTGGTCCTGGCCAGTTTGGCTCAGCGGATAGAACATCCGCCTGAAGACTGAAGGGTCCCAGGATCCATTCCCGGTCAAGGGCACATGCCCAGGTTTCAAGCTCCATCCCCAGGAGGAGGCGTGCAGAAGGCAGCCCATCAGTGATTCCCTCTCATCACTGATGTTTCTATCTCTCTCTCCCTCTCCCTTCCTCTCTGAAATCAATAAAGGAATATTTTTTTGAAAAATAAATAAAAGCTGCCCTGCACCGGTGACTTTCACGGGCAGCGGGAGTTGAGTCACTGTCCCGCGTTTGGTAAAGACAGGACTTTTCTCTGAAGGCAGAATCTCCAGCGACTCGGAGACCCGGTCTTGCATCTTAGACCCTTCCCGCCCAGGCCCAGGACCGGACAGGAATGAGCACAGGGGTGGGGTGGGCAGGGCTGTCCGGCTCACCTGGGTGAGAAGGGGAGGAGGGCGGCCGGCTGGGGCTGGCGCTGGGGGAAGCATCCAGCCAGGGGCGCGTCTTGGCGCCAT